TAAAGCATCCTATGTCCTCAGATAACTAATTTACAAAACTTGTGTGTTCAGAACATAGATTGAAGTAATTATTTAACCCATTTTAGGAATTTATTCTCTTTGTTTTAAATTTTTATTTCAGGTATCACTTGTGGTATAGCTTGGCCAAAAACTCACCATGTAACACAGAAGGGTCTCAAATTTATGGTCATCTTCCTGCTTTGCCTGCTCTGGAAATATAGGAATGGACACTAAACCTATTAAACATGTGTGAATGTCAGTCTTTCACACACATACACCCGTTCTCACATGCGAGCCACATATGTACAATGTTTGCCAATTGGGCTGAGTCTCATTATGCAGCTAAAGCTGGTGTACAGCTCCTCATCCTTCTGCCTCCCAAGTTCCTGGAACAGAGACGTGCTGATCCCAATCCACTTATCTTTAAAACTTACTAAGGCATCTAGGTTTTTAAGCTGAAAACTGAGAACATGGCTTTCCCAATGCTGGGAAATAAACCCAAAATATTCCCTAATGGGTTGGGTTTTTTTTATTTTTTTGCCTAAATAATGTGTTTCTCAAAGGGAGTGGGAGCATTCTGCCTGAAGTGGAAAATCTTTCACGTACAACACTTGACTTGAGCATTCTTCTTCAAACTCTGATAAAAGATTTCAAAGATTGATCTCCAGGATTTCCCCACAATGCACTCACAGACTTTCCCCGTGAAGGATCTTGGTGCCAGGCAGCCCACACCAAATGACCCGGTACTAGCAAATGGAGCAAGCATGTCTCTCTCTCCCGTTTGAGAATGCTCACCACTTATCTCCTATCACTGCCAGCATCAATGGAATGTTCCACAGTTCATTTGCCAAAACTGGCTCCTCTGGCAGTGCTCCAGCTTCAGATTTTGTGGGGAGAACTGCATTATGTATTGAGTTCAAGTTGGAGGTTAAATTAGACTAATGCCATTCTGCTTCATCTTCCCTCTGATGAGGCCCTCAGGCCCAAAGAGGTTCTCATTGTGGAGTTTCAGTCTCTGTCTTTGACACGTTTAGATGCATGGATTCTGGGGAAAAAAATGCCCTGTAATCAGTCTGCGGAATTAGGCAAGTGCATCACTATTTATACTTGGGCCAATCGCACAGTGCTGCAAGGCAAAGCAAGGGACCACTACCTGCCCATAACAGTTTCAAAGTAAACACAGTCCTTCTATGACTGGATACCGCCAGGCAATGCAAGACTTTTTGCTTTTCAGGAAATGCACAAAAGGCTACACAGAGAGCTCAGAAATCACAAGGATGTGTCTCAAGTCAACATCAATCATGAGAAGTCTCAAAATATGAAGGGGATTCAAGACTGAAGATGAGCTGTAAGAAGCTCATATCCCCAGTTCCGAAAAACAGGGATACTACCGGGTCAAGCGTTGTTAAAGATAGTGGCAATGAAGGTTATGATTGCAACCATTCAGTCCTATTTGCTAAGTAACTTACCAGCATGTTGTCCCTGAGTGTGACATTACTGCCTTGTACCTTGTCACTAGCAAGAAAGAAGACCCAGTCTGATCTCATACTTACATTAACTCCTGAGAGATGTCTATGTAGGAAATAACTTCTATTCCATTTACAAACTTTGGCTGAATTTTTATTTATTTGAGTATGTTTACTTTTGTCTATCAATACAGGGTATTGGACCTAAGGCCTGCTACATAGTAGATATATGTTACTACTCGGCTATATTTCCAGACTTCTCCATTGATATTTTCTTTTGACTCAAAGTCTCAGGACCCTATACATGCTGTCCTTGAACTCAGTCTGTAGCTCTACCTTACAGTAGGTTATTCACCTGCCTCGGACTCCTGGCTAGCTGGGATTACAGGTCTCCACCAACAGGCCTTTGTCTTCATTTCTATTTGAAAACAAGGACTTGGGCAAATTTCTTCTTCCAAGAGAAGAATTGAACAGTACAGTTTCTCCCAGAGGGCCATTAGTTATCTTCGCTGGCTTTTTAGCTTCATTTTGTCTGCAAGCTTCATGGTGTCTTGAAAATCAGCAACTAAGTTTTCTATCTGGAATAGGAAATCTCAGAGTATGAAAATGCACTGACCACATAACCACACTGTGGGAAAGGCCAAACCCGCAGGATTGTAACAGTATGGACCTCTCACACAGGTCAAGAAGGCTTGCCATCTTTCTACACCTGGTCCACATCAAACCTCTTAACAAAACATGAAGAAAAGTCAAAAGAACAAACTAAAACCCGACTGGGACATCCATATTGGGAAGAATGCTGACTGTTCCCTCTCTAGCCAAGGTTAACAGGCTAACCATTTACTATTTTGAGAAATCAACCTGGCCATAATCTCCAAGACAGGTCCTAAGCATAACAGGATGAGAAAATAGTCATTAATTAAAGTAAGCTCCGAAATTTCACTCACTTGGTGGGAACTCAAGTGATCTTAGGACACATCCCTCACAGGATATGGGGAAATGATGATGATGCAGAGAATGGCACAGGAGTTCACCAAAACCTTCAAAAGTTAGGGTTTCCTGGAGACCTCAAAGTGACCTTGCATCAGTCTGTCCTGTGTTGTGGTCAAGTAGACAGAAAAGGACTCTCCAGAGGGAATAATTTACTGGTTGTGCTAATCTGCAGCAGGGACCACAAACAAGCAAGGAAAGACAAGAGGACTGTGATATCATGCAGGGGACTGTCATGTGTCGCAAGTGTAGAACCACAAAGGGAAACCAGTGCCATCTGCTAGTGGCCCAATCGAGGAACCTCACAATTATGAAGGTGATATGAAACCTGGGAGGAGTACATAAGCAACTCTTCTGCTCATTCGGACCTGCCCAGCAGTCATTCTATGGGTACAAACATGACCACCAGACAATTTGTCCCTCAAACACCTTCAGGGTTTTTTTTCTGCCTTCAGGCAAAATATCTATCTGGTCTATGCCCATGAATACCCAAGGTCATCGTGGCAATAGCTGATGAAAGGATCTGTGCATCGAGCAGTAGTCACAAATGAAAAAATTATCAGGACAATGTAGGTTTCAGGTCAAAGTTGTTAATGTGGAGATGGAAAGAGTAAAGTAAGGGAGAGAGAGAGGGGAAGAGAGAGAGAGAGAGAGAGAGAGAGAGAGAGAGAGAGAGAGAGAACAGAGAGTGAGGAGGAGACAGAGAAGCAGAGAGGTGGAAGGGAGGAAGAATGAGAGATACTGTTCCTTGGTCTCAGGTTCACTGAATATGGTCATCATGGAATCATCAGGCTTAAATACTGTCGAGTTAAACAATGCAATGAGTGGACAGCACCAGAAGCTTCTAGAATCAACCAGCCTTGCCTAAAACAGCCCACTTGCATTAGTGCAAAGGGAGCTTGTACTAACTTGAAGAGACCTGCTTTTAATGCTGGTGTTTTCTCTCCAGTTGTGTGTCATATGCTGCTCATGGACTCCTGTCACATACTTCAGGATCTGATTGCACAGGTGGATGACTTGGCAGCAAGTTTCCCTCCCTGCCTGTGACTTGCAGCCTCAACCTACTTCTGCCTCCATGGGTGCTGGGAAGGCCACACTGGGGTTGGAGCCCATACTGGGTTGTTCCGAAGTTAGGTCCTTACTCTCTGAACACTAGCCCCTTATCGTCCCTGGTGAAATATTCTTCCCTTTCTATAGGTTCTAGACTCCAGTAGAAAAGGGTCGCTTCTCTCCATCACCAGTCTTGGAAAATACTTTATATTACCAGAGGGACTGTTATGGAGGTCAGGCTTATACCGATTCAATAAATACTTGGGAGCTGTTAGGACATAGGCTGGTGATAAACAGCTAAATTACTTGCAAAAGACAGTACAGGGATGGCACAATGTATTTACCAGGACAAGAGAGTCAGACTCTTAGAGGAGGCAGATTTGCAGAAGTTAGGGTCCAGCTGGAGGTACACAGTCATTCCAGTTCAGACTAGGTCACATAGGATGAGCCTGACTTTACAAACAATTACAAACAAATGTTTTAGAAAGGCCAGACATGATGGCACAAGCAATCCATCCTAGCAAACAGGAGGCAGAAGCAAGCTGACCGGCATGTGTTCCAGGCCAGCCTGGTATACATAGAGTTCCAGGCCAGCTCTGGTCAAATGTGAGATGAGAGTGTTTTTCAAGAGGGCAGAAACTACTTCCTGGAGTCTGTTCTATCTTTCCATCACGTGATTGTGAGGGATGGTACCCAGATTGTAGGCTAGGTGAAGAGCACCTTCCCCAAAGATGACTATACCATGAATGATAGTGGTTCAAACCCAGATGGGCAGCCTGCCATAGATGTCACCCTGCACTGCTCTCCTTAGGTGCTCCTGAATTGTGCTGCATGCATGCAGTTTCAGACTGCAGATTCCTTCTCCTTTTTATTATTTGGTTGTTTGCCTCACTCTTACAGAGAAATTGTTAACTGAGTGTCTGTTTACTGTCCCCTGCCAAGAACACTAACGTCTTCTCCTGAAGATCTGCTTCTCCCACTTGGGAAACATTAGCCATAACACAAGTCCTTTGCATGGCATGTGGCTTCCTGCATAGAGTGCTTGCTTCACAAACAGAACAAGCCTCTTCTCCGTAAATGTGAAAACTGTGTAACCCTCATGGCTACAGGGCAGATGAAATTGATGCCTTCTGATTCTTTGATCACTGACCCGATCATTAAGAAAGCATGGGCATTAAGGAAGGGAGTCCCCCTGCACAGGCTGGTTGGCTGCTCGATATGACTATTCATGGGGGCAGGTCCACCACAAAGTGGCATTGTCTGTTTCTTCTAATGGCACCTCAGTTCACTCATCATAAGCCACATTATTTGTGCTGATAGTTTTACCATTCCTGGGGGCTGCCACAGGTTGGGCAGGCACTGTTCCACTGGCCCAACCTGCCCCAAACAACTGCACTGATTTTGATGGTGTGAGATGCCCTCATCCGCGTGAAAGACTTGTTATACAAGGAACAATCATCCCACCCAGCTTTCCAACAGCTCTTTAGTCAGATATTGTGTGCAGTAGTTTAGACTTTATCAACATTACACATCATGGATGGAACTGTAAGGAACAACACACAAGCCGTTCATATCTACATTTTGCACTTAATCTCTGACAGAATTACAAGTGCTTTCCACAAAGTCTGATGGGCATACAACGGAGCATTAAAGGAAGAAGCCATCTCACTCGGAATGTGGAGTGCAGTTACCAGACACAGGCTTCACGGTCACAACTGTAGAGACTGACATTTGCGCCATTATAGGTAAAAAATCTCCCTTCTGAGGAGCTGCCCTGCCATTCATTTCAGAACAATAACAAGCCCCATTCTCCCTCTAATCAATGCTCATTGCCGCTTTGGTGTTGGCTTATTTGCTGCTGTTGCTTGCTCTTTCATGTTTTAAGGGAAAGTACAATTCTTTTATGGGCCTTAGCTTCTCAGAAGGAGGGGGCACATTGTACAAGGACATTTAACATGGAGACCCTAAATGAGTGACTTGGAGCCCAACCTGAATGGGACAAACAAGCCATTCAGTATCAGGAGAAATCCTCATGCTGCTATTTGAACATGAATTGGACACCAGACTTGACAGAAAACATATCACACTGTCACGAAAGACCTTCTAAAATCGCATTGTGGAGCAAAACAGCAAAAGAGTACAAATGCCCATTGACTCTTACTGAAAATACAGACAAAAGCCAAGACTGCTTTGTGTGAATGTCATTGCTTTTTATAAAGAAGGGAGGAGGAGCACCCAGGTCATCACGTCGGTGATTGTCCTCTCTGCTGTAGGCTGTAGAAATGGGCCTCCTTCAAGATCTGGTTAATGTGAGAGTAAGCACCTTGGCCTTGGCACAGTGCATAGTCCTCGTGTGAGAACTCGGGGATATTGGAGTAAAGTTCAGCAATGTTCTGGTTTAAGCTGCTTTCTGGTACACTTCCTCGTACTGGGTTATTGATGCTGCTGTGGTTTCTTTCATTATCACTGCTTGACGACTGGAAGGAGAAAGACAGAAGGAGGATGGCTATTATGATACTGTCATCATTTCCTGTTCAGCTTGAAGAATACTGGCATCACACTCCACAAAAGGCTCCACACTCTATGAAGTGCAAACACTTGGGTAGTTCCTTCCCTCCTGACAGCAGTGCTATTGCTCAAACTCGGGTTAATAGCACCCATTTGACACAACAAGAAAGAGATGTTTTACAAACCCAAATGCGAGTCTTTGGGAATGTCGTGGAGAGGGTTCAAACACAGGTTTTCTCCCTCCAAAACCCTTCACATATCCTCTGACCCTGTGGCACCATGCATTTTAATTACCTGAACCAGGGAAGTAAGCTCCCAACAGCCAGGACAAAACAGCAGTCAATGCTGCAGAATGTGATAGGGATAAATGAATAAATTGGAATGCAAGCCCAAATCCCTATGTGCCAAAGAAATGACGGGAAAAACTCTGCTTACACATACATTCACATGTACACATGTGTATACATACCAATAACAGGATCTTTCCAAACCTATCCCAGAGAGTGGACATATGTGAATGCCCTATATCTTCAAACACGACTCCACTTGTATTTTGAAATGATTTTGATATTTGTTAATGACAACTGAAGGTCATCGGCTATCATTTCTGATGATTAACACAGATTGGTCTCCTATTAGTGTGCTTAGTATAGTTTGCATATGGTAAGTTTGCTCTCTATATTGTCTTTCCTGAAGTAGCTGCACTCTGTCACATTGGTAACATTATGTGGGATCCAACCCAAAGAGTCATATTCTGGGTTTATGTAGACTTGGGATACAACTCAGTGGTAGAGTGCTCTTTTCACATGCATGGGACCTCGGGGTTCATCTCCTTGGGTAGAGGAACACACATTTTGCACACTCATGAAGCTCTTGCCTTTAATCTTAAAACTATCAAAGGAGGAAGAGATGATCACAATGACCCTGATGAGATCAGAAATGTTGAACACTATTGGTATCCCATGTCATATAAAGTCATCATTGCCAATGATAGCTGTAATAATGACAGAAACAAGATGTGCTATCATTCTACAGGCATGGGGAACTGCTGAGCCCACTACATCACCTACAGGTATCCAATGAGTATTTATGCAATGAGATTCATGGACTCAAAGACTGTACATGAGAAACACAGAAGTCAGATGGATCTGTGGGTGAGTAACCAGCAAATAGCTACCCGTAGATTTAGGGGCTATGCTTGTAAAAGGGTCCAGGAATCCAAATAAGGTCTCTAATGTAAAAATCTAGATGTAGCAATTGATTATACGGTTTATATATAAACAAGTAAAACCCAGGCAATGTATCACGCTGGATGAAAACACCCAGTACACACTCTGGTTTCTCTGAGGTAGATTTCCTTTCTTGGTTGTTTCATACTGCTTTGTTTTTTAAAAATGGCAAGCAGGGGAATCATCACAAATGGAAGCATTTTGTTTTGAACTCTTGTGTCAGGAAGATGATAGTATCATACGAAGACTGGATATATTACACTGAGGGGTACTGGGGATATGGTGACAACGGTGGAGAGCTTGCCTAGCACACAGAATGCACTGGGTTTGAGCCCCGTTCAGCATTCCATGTGCTGAGCAGTACTCCTGTAGAGTCAGGTGGACTGTGGAGGATTAGAATGCTAAGGTTATGATCATCTTTAGCAACATGGGAAAGTTGTGGTTTACCTGAGTTACCTGAGACCCTGTCTGTGAGAACTCACAGGAAACCTCTCAGTATCTAATTTCTAGCTGGCTTATACAATTTTTTATCTCAGCTGTGTACTGGCATCACTATTACAGTAATGTTCATAGTAGTTGTACAACTTCAGCATCTTGGCTATTAACAACCAGAAACCAGCAAAGAGTTTTCATAAGGGAAGTAGCTGCCAGGGTGGATGAGCACACACCTGTAATACCAGCACTCGGGAGGCTGAAGAAGGAGGATCTAGAGGACAGTCTGGGCTACATATGTGCTCCAGGACTACCCCAGCTATCTATCAAGAAGCTGCCAAAACAAAAACCCAGACACATGGACAGGCAAACACACAAGAACAAAAAGAATGAAAAAAAGAATGACGAGGGAAATTCAATTCATCTGAATGATATGTCATCTATTCATAAATAGTCTTCAGACAATATCAATTGTGCTTTTGCTAAAGAAGAATGATATTCTTGATCTCTTATGGGATGCCTATATTTCCCAAGTCTTTTGAAAACATTAAAGCATAGTTAATAAATCCCAATACTATGTATTGGTTGGAAAAATACTCATGTTGTCATAGTTATTTTCTATTGTTCTGAAGAAACCACGACCAAGGCAACTTACAAAAGAAAAGCGCAGTTTCAGAGGTCAGTCAGGGCCCATGTCCACCATGGGGGGTACATGGCACCAGGAAGGCAGACATGGTGTGGAATAGTGCTGAGAACTTGACATACAACCAGGAGGGAGGGAGGGACAGAGGAAGGGAAGAAGAGGGAAGGACAGAGGGAGTGAGGGAGGGACAGAGAGAGGGAGGGAAGGAGAGAGAGAGGAGCACACAGAAAAATAGGAAGGGCATGTCATGGGTCTTGAAACCTTAATGCCCACCCACATAGTGACACACCTCCTAACCCTTCCCAAGTAGATTTAGGACTGAAGATTGAGTATGTAAATATCTGAGCCCATTGGGGCCATTCTTACTCAAACCACCACATACTTGTACAGGTTGAGGTGAGAAATCATTGTTTCTACTTTTGTGATATCTTCACATTCCATCGAATCTACATCAGGTGATTCATAGGCAGAACAAAGATTCACTTTGTCAGTAACTATATAAGAGGGCTACTACAATACAGTGGAAATCTTTTATGAGATTCAGTTCCTCCTAATTTCAAAAAAAAAAAGATTAGAGAAATAAATTGCAATGCTAGAAATAGACCTTGGGAACAGTCTTATGCTACAAAGTGGCAAAGACAGCCTACCCTCAGCTCCCTCAGCAGGTCTTCCACCATCCACAATGGCTATTCGTCCAATCAACTGTCATCCCACTTACAAAGCCTGGATGTTGTAACATTCTTGCTGTGAGAATGGCGTTGAGGAAATTTTTTTTGATTTGGAAATGTTTATAATGCAGGACCCATGGGGAATTTGTCTAATGTGTGATTGGCTTGCCCTTTTGGAAGCCCAAATGGCATTCCTAGCAGAGATATTTACACCTTCCTATAACTCAGTTTCAGGGTGAGTTGATTTCTCAGAACATAGAAGACCTGAAATATTTCAAGATCATTCAAATTTTAATCGACACATGAATGACACTTAGCATATTCTGACTACTCCCAGAAAAGTATTTTCATAATGCCCACCCATGTACGAAGAACAATCCATTATGGAAAAAAAGGAGAAGATTTATTTGCTGGGAGGTGGCAGCACATACCATTAATCCCAGCACATGGAAGTGAGAGGGACTTGCATCTCTGTGAGTCTGATGCCAACCTGGTCTACACACTGAGATCCAGGAAAAGCAGGGTTACACAGTGAAACCCTGCCTTGAAAACAAGCAAACAAGAGAACCAAAGAGATGGATTGATTCATGTGTCCCTTAGAGTAGTCTATGTGCACCAGGAGTACTTAGGTGCCTGCACAGGTCACAACAGGGGGATTCATGCTCTTCAGCTGGAGTTACCGGTGGATTAAAAAAAAAAAAACACTCAATATGGATGTTCAAATTCTGAGAGAGAAGCTACTGGTCCCAACGGCTGACCCACTTCTCCAGTCATACAAAGCCCACTCTTATTTCTCTGCACTCTCAACGCACTTGAGCACTTGTTTTGGGCACGTCCATACAGGTCAATGCACTCCTTAAAATAAAAGGATACTTAAGAAGAATCTGGGGAAGAAGATCTCACCATTTAAAGTTTCCAAAGGTTCTAAACAATGATGATGTGGCCTCGATACATGGGCAAAGGCAAGGTTATACCTTGTTGAAAACCTTAATAAAATCTGCATGTTTTCCTCGGAGTCAAGGAAGCTGTGTCTCTGTGTCAGCAGAGATCTGGCACAGTTCTGTTTGAGGACAGGACAGAGAATTGCCTGTGCGGCTTTTTTATTATCAGTTAGCTCAAAAGCCTACTCAACTGGACTGCACCTGGGAGAGAATGCTGGGTAGACAAAGGCCTTTGCAATGCCCAGTCTATCCAAACACATGCTTGTGGAATTACTACTGGAACAGAAATCTCATCTTGTTCCCAGAGGCCCCTGAGCTGGATCTGACCTGAAAGTCTCTTTCATGAGGTCTGTACTTCACGAGGACAAGCTTCCAAAAGAGGGAAGCAACCAGCAATCCTACCCAGGTATGATGCCTGTGAACCACGACGACCAGCATGCTAAGATAACCCTAAGTGTGTGGTAGTGGCACATGCACTAGTGGTGACCTACAGATCCTCAAACTTCAGTCCTGCTCAGGAGGAGGGAAATCATACCTGGTACAGGAAACCTAGGGTTAGATATAATAATGGAATCTGCAGAAGCAGTAACTGCCCCTTTAAGAAGACATCATAATCCCTAACTACACTGCAAATATTTACCCTTATACCCAGACAGAAGTGCAGTCCTCGTGCAGCATCATGGAAACATCTTCTTCCAACAGACAGAGACCATTAAAGAAAACCACAACTAATGAAAATGCAGCACCGTGGAGCCCAGTCCCAACAGACACAAGGAAGAGAATGGAAGAGGGAAAGAAAGATTGCTCAAACCAGAGGATCATGAAGTTTCCTGTGAGCCGGTGTCTCCTAGGAATGTCAGATGCTACACCCATGGTCTCACCAATGTAACGGCCTAAGAGTGAACTGAAGAACAACCACCACAGACATGCCAAAGTGGTCAGGGAATGCCCAGCACACCTCAGGGCTGCGAAAAACAAAACTGAAAACAAACCTATAGGCAACAAAGGGACACTGGTAGTGGGAGAAAAAAAGCCCACAAATTCATTATCCAAAAC